CGTCCATAACATACCCGACGCGCCGACTAAGAGGTATTTTTTTTACAAAAAAATAACTCAAAAATTGATCTAATCATAGGCCCGACGTACACACTACGCTTGAGAAATTTGAAAACGGAGTTTTCATTTTGAAATGCGTCAAATGTTTTCTATCCACCGGACACTACGCCGGAGAATTTTGAAAACGCAACAATCATTTTGTATTTTGGATTTGTGTTTGGCGAAAACTAAGGCAAGGAAATCATATGATAATCGGTCGTTATCGTTTTCGAAAAGCTCCGATTTCGAAATGTTTTCCGTCCGCATTAAAACGCAAAGCCGGCGTTTTCAAATTCCTCCGGTTTGAAGAGCGTTTTCGAAAAGCTCTATTTTCTTGACGGATTAATGTGGGCGGTAGGCCTAACCGTAGAAATAAAGGTGCGTTTTTAAAACTTCTCCGGCTTAGTGTGGACGGGGCGTGAAACAACCGCTCAAATCGATGTTTGTAAACAGAGGAAATCTTCCCTATTTTCAACCGGCTGGTTGACGATCGAAAAATGTTATCAGCTGAATTTGATCCTTTCATACCCTCCATACAAATCGCATGATTTGGCAATTTTGCGCCCAAGGTAGGGAGTTTTCTACAAACGCCGGGTACTTATTGCCGCCGGGGTACCTATCATTAATCTAATTTTTACTCATGACTTGGCATATCGTTTGTTGATTGAAACTATTATTCCAATCAAGGGCTAACACTATTATTTAACTGTTTTTTGTTTTTTTTGTTTTTTTCTAAACTGTTCAAGATAATTCTTAAATTGGTTAGTGTCCATCCAAGTTAGCAAATAATTTGGACAGCAGCCGAGTCAAATTTTTAAAAATTAAGTTATTTCAAATTGGATTAGAATGTAGTCCAATTACACAACACCGTCCGTTTTCAAAAGATTAGAATTGAATTTCGCCTTAACCGGGCTGATTTTCCTTCTTCCTGAGAGCTTTTGGACTTGTTCAGGGGTGACGCATGACATAACAATTAACACCTGTAACAATGTTTATAGTACAGTTGAGTATTCATATGATTGGTTATTTCTTTGAAGCAGCTGAAAAACGCTACAGTTGACCTTGGAGTAATCAATCAATCAACAATTTATCTTTCGGAATGGAAGCTAAGAGCTATAATGGGTTTATTATAAGACTTTTTGATTTAATCCTTTCGTTCACAAGTGAGCACATTTAATTTTACTGAAACTGAAATGTTTGCGCAGATTTTCCGAATAATCAACACGGAGAACGTAGAAGAGCTTTTTCTATGTATAGATTCACTGTTTACAGAGCAGAAAATAATTTAGCAACGACAGTTCAAACTAGCCTCAAACTGGGCAAGGTTCGAACTCTGCCTTATTTTAAAAAGGCACACACGCCTTACTGAAAAAAGCTGTCCGCTTGACAGCCGGCTGTCAGCTTTGACGGGTGAGAGAGTTGGCTGAAGGAGTCGCCTCAGCGTGTTTGTTACATGCAGAGCACCTGACCAGTGTATGATCAGCCACACGTGATCACGGGCACGTGGTTCCTCACGCGTTTCTGAGAGGCATCATTTATTCCACGATTTTCGTGCATGGAAAACGAAAGAACTGGCTTAGAAACAAGCTTTCCAAAGTGGCGATTTTTGCACTTTCAGAAATGTAAACAAAGGCTTAAATGATACACCTAGTTTGAGGGTTTTTACTTTAAAAAAAACCCTGGGGTTTTATAGCAATTCTGTGTGACATACAGGAAGACTAGTCCATTTCTTCAGAAAGATCAGCCAATGTAACACCGAGACAAGCCGGCGACTCGACAACGATAAGCCAGAGAAACTGCTTTACTTTCTCAGAGAACAGAACAATATACTTTGGATAACAACTCAAACATTTCCCGTTTTAAGATAAATAATAAATTTCAAGGGAAACTGCAGTACTTAGTAAAAGCCATTACAAACATCGCAACAAGTCTGCCGAAGTCGGGAGAATGCTCTTAAGTTTGACGCTACACTCTACTGCTCAAATACCGATTGTCACGATTTTTCAGTGAAATCCCTCTTCTTCTTCTCCTTAAATTAAAGTTTACTTCGAAGCTGGAGTCCAGCAATGTAGGTAACCCGTAACTAGAATTTCATGTTGGATCGAACGGGGTTGTCACATCTCGGACGATGGCCCTTATATTCCTGATGGCATTAATTTTTTTCCATTACACGTCATTTTGGCGGTGAATTGTCTTGAAAAGAGAAATTAGATTCTCGTCACCCTAATGAATAAAGACTTCTCAGGACTATCACCGGTCGCTCTTTTTTTCCTAGCGAGAAGTGAAAACAGCCCCGCAAACACGTCGAGGGCGAAGCTATTTTTCCTCTGGCAAAAAGAAAGAAGGAAATTTTAATAGTCTAAGAATTCTTGACTAATGCTCTTCAAGGAAATGACGAACTGTAAAAAATCTATAAAAGTAACTTTTGTAAGCTTGCAGGAATCCAAGAAAAAAATATAGGAAATGGCGTTTCCTGTTTGTTCCATACACAGTTGGAAATGAGACGCAATCAGACGTTAACAAGAGATCTGTTCAAACAAAAATTTTTATATACAGTTTTGATTGACGCTGAAAGCCGGTCCGCTAACAGATTTTCAACCAATAGAAATCGTAGTACTCACTGCCACAAGCTTCATGGAATGTATTCATAGGTCTTCACCTGCGGTTTTATAAGAAACCTCTGTTATCGGAACCCCATCACACCGACCTACAGTCCTTTTGGATAGAAAGGGCCGGTTCAAGGCTCCGGGGTATATTTGTGCTTGAGAACGTCAAAGGAAGGATTCATTTTAACAGTGTAACAGTATGTATAGTTTCAATATGCTCATTTAAATTCATCGTTTAAGTCTGGCTTACGGGAAGGGACTCAAAGTAAAATTGCATGAGAGAACTACTCATCAGTGATTATGAAAAAACAAGTAGAGGGTACTCCCCGTATTGTTGGGGCATGACTAATCTGATCGAGTTTCACCCTCAAAGAGACAACATTTTCTAGAGGTGAATAAGCATAATTTCCATCAATCCAACTGTACTAGGACTATTTGAACACGTATTCTAGTTCTTGTTTATTTGTGGCTTAGTTTAACAACGTACCCTGAGCATAGTTATCGTAAAATGTAACAACTGTGCAAATGTAAATTGAACACTTTTAGCGGAACGAAACCTAAAATGCGCAAGAAACACTTTCATTACCATGGTTACAGTCCTGCAGTACTGAGCCGAATAATTACCACTTCTCCCTTAATTTCACCTTATTGCCTGTCTCGTTACCCATTTGGTTTAATTTATTCATACAATAACGTTTGGTATCCGCATTTCTTGAGTAAGAGATCAGTTGACAGACAAGCCGGCTGCGTTAATGTGTTGCTGCCCAGCTATTGCCCTCTGCACCCAACGATTCTGAAACATTTCCGTTAGTCTTTTAAAAATATGCATGACAAAAACTTTCTCGACTAGTAAAAGCTAGTACGGTAAGAGAGTTAGCAATGCGCAACACAGGTCAAGGTAAAGTAAGCAAAGATTTGATTTGGCTGAACTCAAGTGCCCCCCACCCAGCATATCTTCCGTTTTTCATCATTTTTTGCTCCCCAGTGGTTTTATAACAATCTTAGTTATGATCTTATTTGCGTTTCCTGTCCTGTCCAATCTTTTTCCCATTGTCTCCCATGAAGCAATTCCTGGCAAACACCGTACGGCCTGGGGCGGTTAGCTACTTAGTTCTACCCTCGCCAAGTGACGCGTAAGGCCCGGGGGATACTCCTTTACATGGGCTGTAGGCATGTGCAGCCCCAAAGGCAATGGTTTTTTAGCCGTTTTGGTCAGAAATAGAGTATCCATTTTGCTATTTTGGTCTCAAATAGGCCGTGGTTTTTGTTTTTTAGACGAAGCTACTTTTTCATCATTATCGATAAGACCATCAACAAAAGCCCTTCACAATGGCTTTAACATCGGTCTGAACTAGAGAACTAATTATAAGGCAGGTCTGACACAGGGTATTTATTTAAGCCAGGTCTCAAATAGGATATCGAATTCTTGGTTAAGCCATAAATAGGGTAGCGAAAATTACAGATTCTGGTCCTGGATAGGCATATGGATAGGGTAAGGGTTTGGGAAGAGGACCACACACCCACCCAATTTTTCTGCATGGGAATACACCCTCTCCCCCCCTTCCCCACCCACCCGTCCTTTTCCGTGTGGTCTCTGGTCCTCCAACTTTCCTTTTCCCTCCAGGCTGCCTCTTGTCTCCTGGGGCGCGGCCAGGAGGGGGGGGAGGGGGGCGGGGGGCAGGGTACATTAAGGGTATTTTATGCGCAGAAGCCAATGTTGTTTAAAAAAATCCCCACACATTGAGCGCTTTTGTTTCCCTGGATACAAAGAAACTGTGTCGCTCAGCACACCTGAGACATGCACTAAACACGGTGATTTAAGCTAAGTTCCAAGGTCACGATTCTTGTTGGCAAATATTTTAAATTGATATTTAAGACGAGTGAAGTGTGATGTGTGGATCAGGTCACCAAAACATGATTCGCTTGCAATGCATCATTAAAAGATTATCACCCATTACATGCAGCCCTGGTAATCTCACCAAAATTTTCCTCCATGTTCAACTATATACTGTTTGCACGTCGCAAGATTTTGATCGAATTACCCAACATGCACCCATTAGCACGTGACTCTGTCGATTCACTGATGCATTTCCACAATCTCGATCATGTTTGACCCGGTTTCAGCAATCTGGCCGATTTAAGGTTGAATATTGCGACGGGAAAATCCTTACAGGCGAAGTACAACTTTTCAAACACATGTGACTACAAACACAAGTTGTCTGCACTTGTCAGCACAATTGCGTTTGTTATCACCCCAGATCACGTAGTATGAAACTCCCCAACGCTTTTTTATCGCCTACTACTGACGAGAAATTGCTACTTGATCAGAAATGACGGATAACCGTTGAAGGTCCCGTTATGCCTTATACAGTACGCTGTTAGCGGCCTGTCATTAAAATGCTCTCCCGCTTTGTTTGAAAGTTACTTTAAAAAAAATACTGGGGCACGAAAAATAACAACTCGGAAACACACGTGTTCAACCACAATGTAACAATCGTGGCCCATATAGCTAGAAAAACAGGAACTTAAGAGGGAAAGGGGATCAGTTCACCGTATTTTTTACGGCACTCGTGATATTCACCACCCATCATTATATAATAACTCAAAATATCCAATAGCAGTGTTTGTCTTATAAATTACCTGGTAATCATCATGGTTAAAAAGCGAAGGTAAAGCCGACAAGGGTATTCATTTGACGCAAGTGTTAGAACTTGGAGGAGCTTTCTTGAAGTGTCGTTTTATTCCCTCCATCGCAGGACTGAACCCAGTGAAGTTGCGAGCGTTCATTCATTAATAGTTGAATGTGGAAAAGAAATTTGCAGGTATTTCATTTAAAATCTCTTTGTAAAACTAGGTACAACACTATTCTCACGAGATCATTCATATGTACTTTCATTGATTAAGATTATTTTTAATTCATTTAATTTACTGTACTAATTATATACAAACTGATTTGTGCGTTGAAAGTAGAGAGTCGAAGCAGCAACTGAAAGCTTCCTACTTCATTTCGGGGAATGTCGCTACTAAACGTGATGATCTGATGTTTCAGTCAAACTTTCTTCTGTTTTCGGGGAAATGAGTAATTCAGGAGGCTAAAAATAGCCACCTATTCAATATTATCTGGGAGTATGTCATTCAATGTCAGCTACAAAAGCGTTGAAGAATGTTCGCCAAACTGAAACTGATATAATTTTGTGTTTACTCTGAAATTAATCTCCATGAAGTTCGTAAGGCTCAGTGTAATAACCCCGAGGTCCGCTACTTTTCACCTGGTTTAATTGTTAAATTCCTAAATTTGCTTCAAGTCAGTCAAACAATGAATGCTTCAACTTCAAGAGAATGAATGGATAATCTTGCTTCTTGTTCATTCTTGTCCAAGCGTTTTTTGCCCTCTGCAAAATTGAGGTGGCAGCTTTTTAGATGAACTTTCGACTCATATTTCGAGTGCTGACTAATCTTCTCCGAGTGGGAAAGAAAACATAATTCGACAAAATTAAATTAACCGACATTTTGCAGTCGCCTTCGGCCTGTTGTGACAAGTGTCCCCTAGCCTCTACAAGGGAGGCGGAAGCTGGTTAGACGCAACTTCTAAAGAGTTTTATCAGTAAACCAATATATTATTTCCAGCAATATTAAAAATGTTTTGATATGATTCGAGGCAAATTTTTATGAGATCTTCCAGTTTGAAACGCCAGTAGCCCCTTTTGAAATTTCTAAGGACGTGATCACCAATGGTCTCGAGCAATGTGCATGATCATGTCCAGGGTAATTCAATCAGTAAGTCTTTGAAATTTACGTCAATTTGAAATTTTCCGGCTTAGTCCCTGCGCAGTCTACCTGTATTCGCCATTTCCAAGCTGAAACGATCTTCTTCAAGGAATATAAGAGTTTCCCTTAAATCTGGAACCAGTCTGACCGTCTATTTTCTCTTAGATGTTTTTCGAGATCACAAGAAGAAAATTAACTACGGGGGATTTGAGATTAGTGTTTTGAACGCAATGGGGGGTGTAGGATGGGGCTCCTGGTGGTGAGAGGAAGTGGGGGGNGGGGAGTTATATTTGCCGGCAAGAAAATTCAATGATAGAAATGTCTTTTTAGCGACTAAAAAGGGAATCGTTCACGGCAAAGAACGTTTTAAAACGATTAAACATATAGATCTTAGATTCATTCCAAAGCTATCGTCGCAAATTTAGTCATTTTAGTTCTGTGTACCCCTTAGTTGTGTGTTGGTGTTAAGAGAGAGACATTCCCTTGGTAAGCGGCAAATGATTATCCATTCTGCATGCATCTGGTCAGAGTGTGACCCTGACATGGTGTTGTACATGACGTATCAATTTTCTCCCCACTGGGTGTCCTAAGCCTTAAAGTAAAGCAGGTGTTTTTCATTTTTGGAATTAAAATTCTTTATTTATCATTATTATTTAAAAAAAAAAAAACGGCTTCTATGGGGGGCCTAAATGACATCTACATCTCGTGATACCAGTCCGTGCAGCGTTATATGCGTATTCGTCAGAAGTACCAAGTATGAAGTTTTAAAGATCACTTTGAAATCGTGACGGGGGGGTGGGGGGGGGGGTGAGTTCATGGCTTTCAAATAAAAACATTTAATTGCAGATCCGCCGCTATCTCGAAGTCTTTCGCGAAATGAAATATAATTCGAGATGTCGGGGATTCGAATAAAGGACTGAAAAAGTTTAGATTGAAATTTTTTCAGCCTTTTTAAAACGGCTTCTATGGGGGGCCTAAAGTTCGTGCAGCGTGTATATGCGTATCCGTCAGTTACCAAGTATGAAGTTTCAAAAATCACTTTGGAATCGTGGCGGACGGGGGGGGGGGAGTTTATGGCTTTAAAAAAAGACATCAATTGTAGATCCGCTATCTCGAAGTCTTATGCGAAATGAAATATAGTTCGGGTTGTCGGGGATTCGAATAAGGAACTGAAAAAATACAAAAAGGAAAAAATGATTTGAGATCGAGATTAGTGCGGAGTTCGATCGAGACAACCGGTGGTTCTACTGTGTAACGAAGTGACAGAAACCCACTTAAATTCATCCACTTCAGCAGTCTGAGATCGAGGGAGAACTAAACTGGACGGAACAAATTTTGACATCCTTTACTTCGAAAAATTCCCAAGATCGAGTATTCAAAATCGAGTTTTTTCCTGTGATACACAGAGCCAAGCAGACAAACACTGAAAACGGAGTAAGCTTTTGTCCCCGGCAATGATGTAATATCTCGTTCTCAGACTCCTCGCTAAAACAGTTGAAACCGGGTATCTCTCATTCCCCGCTATCTCGAATTGAAATTATTTTGGATATACTCTTTCTGTCATTTACTAATGCCTATTTCTAATTCTCCTTGTCTGAGATAGCGCGATTTTACTTTACTGTATTGCTTAAAATTCCCCTCTTATATTGTCGGTTACTGCGCATGTTACGCAGGCGTCGAGCTTGTTTTGCAAACTTTGATATTGTGTATTTGTTTTGCACGTGATTTTATAAACAGACAGACATTGTGGTATAAGTCAGTCTGTTGTTTTTGCGGTGAAATTTTATCATCATTAGAATCTCGATCCTTCCAGCACAATTTTTTAGACTTATCTCTCATTAATGTTTACTGCCCACTCGTCAAAGGAAATATCGATTTAATTTCACAGAAGCAAAACTTTGAAAACAACAGTAATGTTATCTGTTTATATTACCGGCACTGCGAGGGTATAGTTTGTCAGAAAAAGAAATTCGTGTAGAAAGCGTGATGTGAAACACTCTTGAAGTTTCTGTGATATTCGACTCACCATGAACGATCTTTGAAATCACGAACTATCTTCTCTGCGCGCAGAATTCGAAGCCAGACAACCTTTTCGTAAAATGATTATGCAATCACAGGAAAAGGCAAAGGTTTAAAACACCGGCTTGGGAGGAGAAATTTAACTCTGGAAAATCGAGCGTAACAAATGACTTGATTGAAACCTTGGCGGGTCAGAAAAGCCAAGGAAACCCTGCAAACCTAAGTCATGATATCAGAAGACAAATTGCTGACCCTAGGAAAAAAGAGCGGCAATGTTTATAGTACGGAACAGGCAAGAACCCATCCCTTTTGATAGATTTCTCAATCAGTGCGACTTGGCTGGTCGAGCGAAGGGAGAACAAAGCTTCATTGATGTATACAGTCAAAATATTGTTGCGTTTTGTTATTAAATCGGTCACAGTATAGCGGGAAGGTTAACATCCCAGGTCGACCACCCAAAAAAGCAACTAATTCTGTCCGACTTAATAAACCTTGGCCTCAAGGGCTTTTCTCTTTCATTCGTCTCGACGTATCAAAGTTAGTTGTTGACAAAACCCTGCAAAAATTCCAGGTGCCGTTTTTGCAGAAAAATCCACTGATCAGCCCATGCAATCGGAATATATTAGTTTGCAGCGAACAATGGTATCATTGATTCCTCAAAGCATAAAGAACCATTGTGCAAAGTCACTGTTGTTTCGCTATTTTAGCGCCATTGTGTCAAATGTCCTCGCCGGGAGAACAATAAGTTGCTATGGACACTAAGTACCAAAATATTGCTCTTCATCAGCTGATTTTATTTGTATGTCACTGCTATTGTGAAAACTATTTACATGCGTTTTGAAGATTGGGTTTTCCTTTTAAAACAATTCGTCTCAGGAACTGTTGTTTTCGTAAAATCAGCGATGCAAATTACAAAGCTCACAGCTCGAGTCTTAAAAACTATTATACATATACGCATTTCCAAAATGAAGTACGTTACATCTAGATTACAGCAAAATCTGCATATAATATGTACAATTCTTCTGGCGTAGAAATAGAATTTTTAAAAGTAATTGGTAGATAAAAACCTTCCGGTATTTACGGAAGTTTATTCACCCCCGTCCTGGGTCTCGTATCATCATCGTTTATCCTTTCGCCATCGCGACAGTTGATGTGAAGATTGTGTCCATTCCTTGTCAGTTGCAAAGCGTTTATTCTATCTCCAATTCTGGCCAACACCTTCCCAATTTCTCGGCATAATTCTTTACTTTCTTGACTCAATTCACATGAAGGACAAGCCAGTTGATTTATTTGTGGCTTGCTGCCGGCTGATCTTGGCTTGTCGCGGTCCATACCAGTTACGTATATCCTCTCCGAGCGGTCTATATAATAAACAGATGGGCATGAGTTGAGGACAGGTTAAACTCGAAGTTATTTTGCTAAAGAGGACAGCCCATTAGTCATACTTTGCTCTGTTATGACCATTTAGAAAAGCAAATTGAAATTATCGGCTTCTTTTATGTCTCACACCCCTGTGAAGCACAACAACTACCCTTGTTTATATATTTATATTCTCGGCAAAGAAAGAGCCGCTCGCGAACCCATTTCCTATCCGAGCTTTCAAAATAAAAACTTTGAAAGCAGATGGCCCATAAAAGCATCTTGGATAAGCTGTGGAAAACAGTTAGCTACGTAATTTAACGCCCTGTTCGTGGAAAGCTTTCAATATGCCACTTACCAGGGCGAAATAAAATGATCTTCAAGCGGCTCGCTTCTTTAATAGTCAACAACTTGTTGCTTGAAGTTTCGCCTTCGAAGCTAACTTGTTTGACAAGGAAAGACGGTCGCAGAAAGTTCTCCTTCGCTGGTAATTACTTCAAGTACTGTTAACCTTCCTCAAGGAAGGGCAAAATTCATGGCAAGACCGAATGTTCGGAAGTCGGTCTTCTCGCAACGAATGTCTTTTGCCTCTTCACTCACTGAACGTCGCCAAAAAAAAGTTCCCGCGAAAAAAATATTTAACTGCGTATAAATATATTCACCTATTTTTGATATTCTGCCAAATAATACGTTGCAATATTTTTGTATTTTTTGATTGGCTCGCGTCTAAGACGTTGTCAGTCCTGCTATTGTCTCAAGGACAATAGTTCGCGCGCGTGTTATTGCCATTGTTTCTTGACCAATCAAAGTTGTTCTTTTGATGTGTATTCCGTTGTCCACGTGCACAAGCTTGCGGTTTTAGTTTCAAAACAAGAGCACACCAAAACCACGCTTTCTTTTGGTTTTCGACCATGTTTTAACATTAATAATTCATGAAAATGCACTTTGAGGTTAATTTGCATAATTTTCCAACTTATTGATGATCTTGACAATTCAACCTAAATTTCTCGATTTTACAATCTTTATTATACATTTCAAAGCTCTTCTTTTAATGCTTGGTGATTCTTTAGCCTTACGCGTGACATAGAGCTAAGAGCAAAAAAAATTATTCATGGTAGGCGTCGAAAAAGATTCGGCTAAAACATTGTGTATGTTTACTTTTTGCTTACATATGTACTTTTTGTTCTACTTTCGTTTCGCAAGATCTCTGCAAACCGTAGTTGAAAATTCGTACGATTTTCGAGTCAGGCTTTGTTCCAATGAGTCTTTTTGGGAGGCAGAATGCTACTTGTGTAATAACTGACAGATATCTTGAGTGGAACAAATAAAATTTTCCCGTCAATGTTTAATTTTCTGTTCCATATATCTCAGTGACCTCATCTCTTGGTGAAATTCAACGGAAAGAGGTGTGTTGACAGGTCATCAACCGGAACCAATCAGAAAGCACTAACTTGTCAAGCTGACCAATCACGTAAGAGAGCGGCGTGCCAAAGAGATTTTTCTTTAGCGACATTTCTTCGCCACTGCAAGGCTCGTTTGATGGTGGTAGTTATTTTAGTGCTTCCGCGCCAAGGCTTGCTTCTACTCTCTACTTCTCCTTTGCTTTTGCTTTTTAAATTGCTATTTCAAGTACTATGCCAAGTGTTTTGAACATTGGTTAACTTCTGTGAGTATATATATTTTTTTCTTTTAACGGGAGCACTCGGTTGTGTTTTCACTAAGCTCACTACTAGTGCGGTTACGTTGATGCGTCAGCAAGGAAGTACGCCACCGACAACGGTGCTTGGTTTTAATGTCTTTTTCTCTTTTCAGGACAAAGATACTATTTCCTTAAATTGTATCCTTGTTTAAAGAAGAAAAACAAACTGCAGGGCCGAAACAAGGAATTTGCGTGCGAACACTTTCACTTTTCTAACTACGATCACTCAATATGGCCGGAGCGACAGCTGCGCTGAACAACGAGGACCTTTCTCCTACCCTCAATACCTCTGAAATGTCAAGGTACGATAAGAAAATCATCGACGAAGGAGTTTCCCTCACACTTGACTATATTTCTTTCCGGCTAAGGAGCAAATTTGAACAGAGCAGACTTAAAGGTTTACCTCGACAGTTTCTTATTCCTCAGACGCCAACAAACCCATCAGCGAGTACTCTACGAAAACTGGCAACTCTTATGGAGGCAGAACACCCTGATTTGTTCGAATCATTGTGCACAACGTTAGGAATTACACCAGTTACAGCTTATCCTACGTTTGTCGGTGTGGCGCAAGAGATTTTTCAAGCAGGAACAAACTGGGGCAGAATAGTGGCGTTGTTCACGTTCGGAGGCGTAGTGGCTCATCATTTCGTGGAAACACAACGACCAGAAATGGCTCAACACATCGTGGAATGGATCGCCTCATTTATAGCCGATAACTTATTAACGTGGATCAGAGAAAATGGAGGATGGGTGAGTTGTAATCCTGAGTTTTTGAAAAAATTCGCTGTGGTTTTTTTATTTATTTTACATTATTTTAAAAATTTTTTGTTATTTTTCTCTTTAGCCTACCAGCTGTCATGAGCTTACGTACGTGCTGTAGTAATTTACTGAATGCAAATTTCAGTCTGTATTTACATTAGTTATGAGTCAGACATTCATTTATCTTGTCGACATTTCGTTTACGTTTTTGTCTCGAAACACCTAGGTATGTTATTTTGATGCAAATTCAAGAAGAATTTTTCAATCTTGAGACAAATTCTGGGGCCATAGATAATGTAAACATGTAAAATGAAAATTTCTTGCATCAGCGGGACACCTCTTCTGCTTGCTGTTTTCCTCAACTTTCACTGCATAAATAGTCTGGTTGTTTCTGTTGACAAGTGAATAACTTCATTAACAAATTTGAACAGAAGAATTTCAGCTTTTTCTCGATCTTCGATTCAATAGAGAAAATTCGCGCGAAGAAAACGTGAAAAGTATTTCCGTTTGACAAATGTTCGTATTAGTATATTGCCCCGGGGGAGTTAATTTCCATTCATGCATTTTTGATCACCCTCTAACATTCAAGTACCTCCTTTGGTGGATTTTGTACTGGTCGTAGTTACGTAATTCAAACTAAAAAATTATACGCTGTACCCAGTAAGACAGAACACGGCTTCCGGTAAATTCAAGTTAAAAAAATTTAAATGTCTTGTACCACTTAGTGAGAGTTTTGTCTGTTTTATATTTCAGTGTTGCAAGTTTCTCTCTAGTAAAATCACAAAATGACAATAATAAAGAACTTTAATAATACCAGTAACAATAGTAAAAACTTTTATGCAGCGCTTATACATTGCTGTCCTAAGTGCTTTACAGTGAGAAAATCCTAAACAAAAAATTCAATTTCCAAAGAGCAACACTTTATGTGAAGGAATTCTTTGTGTAGCCCTGTTTAAAGTTGGGAAAATTTACGATACTGGTGTCTATGCTGCTTAACCATATATTGGAACACTCCATTTTTTATCTGCATCCCTGCTATGGAGGGCAGATTCCAAAACCCTATCTTTTTTTATTTTCTGCACCTTTGAAGTTTGCTTCCAAGAGTTTCAAAATTTTTTCAGCTGCTTTAAAAAACAATATTCCAACAGGCACTGTGCTGGAGTTTGCCATGTAAAGTGGGGTGCAGAATAAAAGTGGAATGCCCCATATTGCCAATTTTTAAACTATATCGTATGTTGTGATACATGTCTTAATTGCATTTATCTTGAACCGCAGTCGCTTTTAAACTAATTGAAAATGAACTTCCTTCCTCCAAAACTGAACATGTTATTGGCAAGAATGTCCTCAGACAGAAGACTAATATTTGTCTTTTTGTCAAGCCACTGTCACTCATCTGCGCCAACTCATTTCTTGGTTGCAGACAAATACATTAGTCTTAGTACAGCTGCCTGTGAAGGGTATGAATAATCATAAAGTGTGGTATCCTTGGGTCTCTGAATTTTGTTAAACACCCTAAGCAACTCTGTAGCATATTTGTCATAAATGTGATGTGTCCTTTTATAATCCTGTATGGAATTATTTTATTACAATGTTTTAAAATGATATGCAACATAAAATAGACCGTTTTTGATATATTAAAATTCAGCTTGGCAGTGAGGCTTAGAGGACACAAACAAAGGAAATTGAATGACCATGTTTATTCATTTCTTTTGT